CCCCGTCCCCCCCCCCCCCCCCCCCCCCCCCCCCCCCCCCCTTCCTCTCTCTCTCCTTCTCTGTTTGATTTGGCATTAATATCACTTACGGACATCTTCACATATTCTCAGTCAAATCTGGGCCTTTGAAAGAAATACGCCAAAACTGAAACCACGGACTGCCCAGATTCTCTGTCCTCAAGTGAAATCCGGGGCTAGGTCCCACTTGCACGAATTTTAAGGGATAGAGACCGTAGATAGCCGAGAGAGATCAACGGCCGAAATCTCGTAATCCGTGCCAGTGGGACAATGCCCCTGGTCCTTTGCCATATCATAACGATTTTTTTTCCCTTTTTTTTTTTCAACTTTAAAATTTGAAACTTTAAACCTTAAAAAAAAAACCATCACTGTCTTGTGTGCCTTCCTGGGATTACGGTGGGATTCTGAGCCCTTAGTCTACCCTAACTCAGGGTTAAGCCATAGTTAATTTTTTTTCCCCCGGGGATTGCGAACCCCGAGTCTTTCCTGGTTAGGGTACCAAGCCGAAGTTAAGTTCGGAATCCCAACCCTCTGGGTCTGGGCACACGACTCGTGGAATGAAACAAAAAAAAAAAAGGAAAAAACGCGAGTGCATCTTTCCACACAAGCTGGCAAGATACATGTGTTACTATAAATAGGAATGGATGTATTGGGCCGGCTGGTGTGGAAAGATGCGTTGGTATTTTTCTCTTATTCGTAATACGAGCCGGGATGTGCTGGCATGTACCGGCCTGCCGTGCGAGGATGACTTCATTCATGACGAACGGGCACGGCACTGTAGTATGTCCTTTTTTTTTTTATAGATACACATGGGGGTGGGGGCAGCCGCCGCTCAACCTACATCCACGTGGGCGGCCTTGTACGCAAGAGGTTCTGAACAGGGGGAGTTATAAGGAAGAAGATCAAAAAATGAATTCATTTTTTGCTGTTTTTCTTTCTTTTTTTCCTTTTTTTCTTTTTTTCGCATTTGCGCTCTGCTATTCTTGTGACAATATATATATGTTTGCAGGCAAGGGTGTTTTGAATCCTGGTTGGTCTTGTCCCTGTCTCTTATACACATCTAGATGTGTATAAGAGACAGGGTTTATGGTCAGACATTGGGTGAAACCTTTCTGACAC